AATATCAGAGCTTTCTTAGTATACAAGTGGCTTGCCAGGCATCATTTGTCAAGAGTGTAAACACAAAGGCAAACACTAGATTTTCTCTCACCCTCAATACCCCTGGTTATAAGGAATAAGAGACGGGGCAAGTACTAGACAGACTAAAAAGCAATGGAATGCAGAGGATGGGGAAGGAGAGAATAAGTAAAAGCTCCTGGGGGGATCTAGAAAAGCCCTGAGATGCCCTTAGGCTTTCACCTCCTTCTGACTTTCAGGCCCTGTGCAAGGAAGAAGTGAAGGCTAAGGTACAGTTGTAAATGGCCTGGGTAAGCCTTGAAGAAGTGATCCATTCCAAGATGATGTTCAAAGTCTGAGAGAATGTGTTTATTTTGATATTTTGGTTGTAGATGTTTAAGGAATCTCTGTCAAATCACTAGCTGACAATTAAACTAATGGAGCAGAGACTTCAGTGGGCATACAAGACAATCTTTTTATACAAATAGTTGAAAAAAGTCATTAAATAAACAACTATAAAAATAAAATAATAATGAATTCTGGGGTGGAGAGAGAATCTGACGTCCAGAGTTATTACATTATAACAGTCAAGACAGCCCATTTTCAAATTGAGACCATAAAGGAAAGGGACCAGGGGGTGGAAGAAGAGGGGGAGGGAAAATGCTGGGGAGTAATATTGTCCAAATTATATTGTTATGTTATGTACATATGTGAATATGCAATAATAAATCCCATCATTATGTACAACTATAATGCACCAATAAAGATGTGGAAAGAAAAAAATAGAAACAGCCATATATTAAAAAAGTAGCCAATTTTCAATAATGAAACAAATTAGTAGACATAAAAAGAAACAAGAAATTATAGATTATCCCCAATGGGGTGGGGAAAAGAAACTAACAGACATTGTCCTTTAAATCAACTGTCTTCTTATCTGACCTGTCTTTTTAGCCTGGTCCCTGTCTATTTCTCCTACATTACTTGTATCTGCTCATTATCATTCACTGGCCATCTTGGTGCTCTTCAAACCATTAGCTTGTTCCTACCTTTGACCCTCAGACACACTCTTCTTCTGCTTCTCTGTAGGGCTCACTCTGTACCTGCTGGTCTTTGTTCTATTCCATCTCCTCAGAGGTGCCTTTCCTGTCTACCTTATCTAAAATAGCCACGCTCTCCCTAACTTCCTATAATTTCCATTTTTCTTTCATTGTTTACTTATCACTGTCTAAAATTATTCTCCCCCTACCCTCATATGTCTCCTTTACTAGCATGTAAGCTCCTTAGCAGCAAGTACTTTATTTGTGTCTGCTGTGGATCACTTACTTACAGTCATGAGCCACAAGAGGGCTGAATATTTATCAAATGAATAAAGACTATTCATACATATTGAATAACTGGTACAACATGTACAACAACAAACATGAAAAGCTTTAAAATTTCTGTGAGATCTCTCAGAAATGTTCCTTACCAGTTGTTTAATGAATTTATTAGAGAAAGAGTCATTTGAATCCTCAAATGAAGTGAGAAATGCCTGATGCACTATGGCCTGTCCTTTCAATCCTAAAGAAGGTAATCTCAAGTGTGGGTGTGGTGTTGGTGGTACAAAAATCTCTGCCCACTCTAACCACACATCTTGTCAAGGACTGAGTATGCCAGAGAGCTACAAACAAACCCGTGTTTCCCTGTGGAGACTAAGAAAGACAGGCTGGTTTGCATGGTGGTAGTGGTAGAGGTGTCCTTGGGATTTCACAGTAATATTATCATTGGCAGGGGTTAGAAAACAAACTGGGTAAAAATGTTGCTTAGTATTGCCTAAGGTAAAGAAAAAAGGGACAGTAGACTGTCTTTGTCTTTTCTTGTTCTGCAACTTAAGAATCATTGCCTAGAGAAAGGAGTCCTTAATTCTGGTAGCTTCTAAAACAACCCAAGAGAAGAAAATATTGTATAGAATTAAATTTATGAATAGATGCCAAATTATCTTTGGATTAAACTTTTTATTCTGGATGAAAATCTTTCTAAAACCTATCATATGCATCATTCACTTTTTCAATATATTAACCACTTTTCTTTCTTCCAAGAGAGACTATAATAAACTCAGTATTTTCTCAGGGATTAAGGTAATTGTGATAAGAATATTGTTTCTGAAGACAGACAAAATCTGGCTTTGCCACTCATCAGGTGAGCAGGTTCATATTCCAGGCCTGTTTTTTATTTGTAAATAGGGATATAAGTACCTGCCTCATGGGGCTAGTGTAGAAATCAAATGAGTTTAGCATGTAATATATTTAACACACTGCCTGGTATATAGTACTGCTAGAAAAATGTTAGCTGCTACTGCTAGAAAAACACAGATTCTCTCTCTTTATTTATATATATATATATATATATATATATATATATACACACACACACACACACACACACACATATATGTATATATAAATACACACACATATATGTGTGTTGTAGCATATATATACATATGTATATATATGCTATAACTTGTAACCTAGTGATACCTTTTCAAAGGGTATAAGATTATTGGTTTAACATAAGATAGTTCCAGGCTGCTTTACTGGAGTGCTTTCAAATACTGTTTTATAGTTTTAATATTTTCTTTTATGAGGTCTCTAATTTCACTTCTCACTGTTGTTCGTCATTTTTCATATTTATATCAGTCTCTCTCCATGTTTCTATTTTTGCAGGGGGCATAAACCAAGTCTGTTAGACATATGTGTTAAATAAGAGCTAATATGTTCTAAACTAAGTTGACAAAGCTGTCCTATGTAGAGAGAGAAAGAATTGAAATCCATAAACTTTGCTTTTTGACTATTCAGAGGTATTTTATTTATTTTTTATTTCCTATTTCTTAATAAATAAAAAAAGTTATCAGAAAGTTAAGTTTCTGGAATAACTGATGCAACAACAATATTACATTTATATATATAAACATCTAAAAATTTACATATATACACATTTACATACACATAAATGTTACAAATAACAATTCTCTAATTTAATTCAATAAATGCTCATTACATTCTTACTAAATGATAGATACTGGGGAACAATATAATCTTGAACCTTCTGAAGCTTACAATATCAAGGGGGAGGTAAAGTATATAATCAAACAGTGTCAAGAAAATATAGTAAGAGATACCAAAGGTTTTTTTCCCACCAGGTCTTATAAAAGCCTGGAGGGAGGGCCCTTTACCCAACCAGGGGATTCAGGCAAGTGCCAGTGCTGAGTCTAGATGGCAGCTGGGTGGAGAAAAGTTATTCTAAGAATGGAAACAGGAGAGGTACTGAAGCAGCATAGTTCTTTTGTGAGAGTATGTGGCTATGAGTAACAAGAAAAAATAGTTTGGTATTGCTATGATTAAAAAATAATAATGAGAAATGAAACTAGGAAGTAGACTATACAGGGATCAGATTCGAGAGGTCCTCATATATATGTCATGCTGAGAAACTTGGATGTTACTTAAGGGACAGGAGAGACTAAGGAAATTCTTATGGGAATATAGCTCAGGAGCAGGGTGCCTGCATGAGGCCCTGGTTCTATCTCTAGCACCACAAAACAAAAAGACAAACAAAAAAAAACAACAATTTTTGAGAAAAAATGTCAATCTTCAGATTTTCATTTTAGATGTACAATTCATCAGGGTACAAGATAGAGCATAACCAGAGACAACAAGGAAGACAGACCAGGTAGGTGGCTAGAGATAGTGAACCTGGAAGGCAAGACAGTAGCCTTTGTGTGGAAGAGGGTCCAAGATATGAAGAAGATAAAACTGCAGGATATGAGCCTGACTGGAATCTAGGGTAACTACCAGGCTCCATGCTTTGACTTACTGGATAGATGATAATGCAGTTAACTAAAAGAGGAACAGTGTTTGCTTGTTTTTTAAAATTTAGCTTCCTTTTTCCTTTTTGGGGTCATAAGAAGATAAAATAGTTTAGATTGGGACATGTTAACTTTGAGGTAGTCACAGAAGAGGTCAGAACTGGAGACAAAAATTTTAGAATAATTAACCTATAGATCCATGAAAACAAATGGAAGCCCCCCTATGGAAAGCAGCAGAACAATGGTAAGGTATCTAAGGAGGGGCAGAAGTAGACAATCATGAATGAAACTGGAACTCCATGTTGAGAGGCCCTGGGAGAGAATAGTGCCATGAAAGCCAGTTTAAAATGTGGTGGTTAATAGAGCTAAACACACTCATTCACAGCTATATTTTCTGAGAACTCACTATGTGTCAGGCATTGTGCTGTTTTACAGATTGTATCTCATTTAATCTATAATCCACATGCTACAGTTGATGAATCTAAAGTTCAGAGAAGTCATATAACTTACCCAAGATCATAGAGTGAGCTGGCAGAACTGGGATCTGAACCCAGGTCTGCTGGATTACAAAACCCATGTTCTTAACTCTGCTGGGGTAAAAGAACTTCTTCAGGATGCAACTTAATATCATCATAATAAGGGCTGCTATATACTGTTTTTCCAAGAAGCATATCTTAAAAACTGCCTAACAATCTCAAATGAATATTTAATATCTAAATATTAAATATGAGGTCATTCATATTTGGTCACTTCAAAATAGATTATTTCAGTGATAACCTCTTCATAATCTGTATTTCATAAATACCACACAGGTCAAATTATGAAAATAAAATGCAGCAGAAAACTCACTTCTGCACTGTTCCAATAATGCCAAAAGGAAGGTCCCAGCTGGACTAGTGTTCCTCAGACGAAAACTACGTACCTTGACTTAATAAGCCTACTTAGCTTTCTCACAAATTATTGGTCCAAAGGAGAACCAGAGAAGGTATGACTCGTTTAGCATGGAAAAACTCATTGAAGTATGTATTCCATGGAGACTTATTTTAGATGATAAATCATTTTCCATTTAAAGACAGAGAATAAGAAAATCTCATTCCTATTTTATAGAAGTTGTAATTTTTGTATTTCCCACTAGAGGAAGCAATAGCATTACTCTTACCATTTGGTGGATAAAAGACGGCATATTCTTCTAATCCTAGTTTTCCTGTAAGAGAAAACCATAGAGGGTTTCAATATGATTTAAATCAATTTTAAAAATTAACTTATTATGTGAATATACTAATAATGGAATTTTCAAGAATACTATAGTCTGATTTTATTTCATATTATGGAATTTAAAAATTTGCCAATGTTTTGATAATAGCAAACCCTTTCATTAATTAAAATCAATAATATAAACTTCAGTACAAGGGAAGTGATACAAAATAAATAATAGAACAAATGCTTCCAAACTCCTTAAGCATGTAAGAAGGGAAAAAAATCTATAAGCATACCATTATTTTGCTAAATATAAATAATTCTTTTTTGAGAGAGAGAGAGAGAGAGAGAGAGAGAATTTTTTAATATTTATATATTTTTTAGTTTTTCAGCGGACACAACATCTTTGTTTGTATGTGGTGCTGAGGATCGAACCCGGGCTGCACGCATGCCAGGCGAGCGCGCTACTGCTTGAGCCACATCCCCAGCCCCCAAAATAATTCTAATCTAGTCATTAAAGCAAGTTCTAAGCTTTGCAATATCTCATTAGCTTACATTTTTTATGGAATGTGCTGAAAAGCTAAAAGTTAAGTGTCTTTAACTGTACAGTGGTCATATTTTCTATGACCAGAGAATGGGGCTAATATTTGAAATCAGAATGTCCTAGAAAGTATATTCACTATAATCAAATGTTTGTAAGAGTTTTACAAAGTAGCTTTCCCTCAAAGCTTTTAAGTTTCTCAGTTTGTCCCACCTTTCACTGAATATCTTTAGGTAGCTTTTTTCTTGACTGTTTTTCTAACCCCTTTGAGTCTACTGAAAAGATATTCAGACAGGTGCAAGGAATACACCTGTAATCCCAAGTACCTGGCAGGGTGAGACAGGAAGATTCCAAGTTCAAGGCAAACCTGGACAACTTAGCAAGACCCCTTCTTGAAGTAAAATAGAAAAGGGGCTTGAAATGTAGCTAAGTGATAGAGTACTTGTTTAGCATGTGTGAGGCCCTAGGTTCAATCCTCAGTAGAAAAGAAAAAATAAATTTAAAAAAAATTCATTCTTATGCTGGGTTTTTAAAAAAGTTTTTAATAAAAAAATTTTTTTTCTTGTTCTTGTTAGGGACAGTGGCAGAGAGGAGACAAAGAATAAGAAATATGAGAAGAGAAGTTTAGGATAGAGTAGAAACAATAAGGACTAATTTTTGTGTAAAGAGAGAATACAATAATGAAAAGGAAACTGATTACTGCACTAGATGTTGAGAGGCAAACAAAAATACAGATATATAGTTTCTCAACCATATAGTTTATAATATAGACAAAATTTTAGATTATTTCTACTAACTTTTTTTCTTTTTCTTTCTTTTTTTTAAAAAGCAGGTTTTAAGTGTTTAGAGTTCAGAGGGAAGGGAAATTGATGACATTTTGGTGACATAGTGAGATATATGCAAATCCTTCAAAGTCCCAGAAAATTTTTTAGAGTTGGGGAAGGGAAAGCTTTCCACATAAAGGAACATATGGAGACTAGAATGAATATGGCATATTGTGGAATAATCAGGGTAGCAAAGTTAGCTAGTTTAAGACTATCAACCAATGAAGGGACTTGAAATCATAGCCGTGTTTAGAGGTGATTCTATTGGGTAATTAAATTCTGTAAGTTCATTTTAGAAACAAGGAAATTTAAGAGATCCCCAGGGTATGTGGAGCCCAAATCCAACACAACATGAAGTGGCATGTCCTAGGGCAGGCAGGAGTTGGAGCAACCAGGCAGGTAGGTCAGACTGAGGAAACACAGGAGAAATAGTTTCATTCTTCAAGGAAACACAGAGAAACCATATACAATAGGGCAATGAGCTTTCTGTGCTGGCTATTCATCACTTAATAAAAAGGAGTTGAGAAGGGCTGTCAGCTGAAATTAGTTCAGTTTTCAAGATCTTGATATGGTGATATATTATAAGCAATTAGTGATAAAGAGAGTTACTAAAATAGGAATTAGAGCGCTAATAACACATGTTACTTTAAAAGGCATTTTGAAAGAAGGAATATAGAAAGTTAAAAAATTCAAAAAGCAAATCTATGTGATAAACCCATAGTTAGGAAAAGTCAACAGATACAACAAAAATAGCAATACTGGAGAAAATTGAGAAGGCAAAATGTCTTCTGTAGTGAGAAAGTCCCTGAAATGCTGCTTCCGGGACCTGTGATACATTGTATTGATTTAAGTGAGAATGAAAAGACAGTTAACGTCAACTGAGAAAAAAGTAATTTACAATTAAAAATTGGCAAAACCAATATAAGCTATGAAATAAACATTCTTGGCATGATTCTGTAAGTCTTAAATAAAACTCCTTAATATTACCAAAATATTACCTCTTATGTATGATTTTGGTGGTGAAGCACTGTTGTATGCAAAGTGACCCAATACTGACGTATCCCGGGAAAAACAAAGTAATACCTGGATATAACATTGGAAAAAAATAAGCAATTAGGCACTGTTATAAAGTCAGATAATTCATTATTATTATTGGGAGGCATTAAGGTGGAATCCTTCAAGCTTAGTATCTTGCAATGGGAAGAGTGCCCTCTGTTGATTTACCTATATTAAATGTTAACAATGAGATGCCAAGTATAGATAGCCAAAGTTCTTCCAAAGATTTCTCAGTTTGCCACTAAAGTTTGAAGACTATCAGAAAATATAAGTTGCTAGCTACCAGTTGATTCTTTTCTTGTTCATCTGGAAATGAGAAACACCTAGAAGAAATTTAACAGATGAGAAATATATACGGTAGACCAGGTAACCATAGTGTCAGAACAATTTGGGAAATGCAGAAAACTAGAAATAGAGTCACTGCTGAGATGCTGCAGATAGTTGGCCTTATCAGGGATGGAGGGAAAGAAACTCATGGTGTTTAGAAGGAATGGCAGCAGTGGTTTCCCAATACAGAATAGAAGTTGGTAGTCCTAATCATCAGGTAGAATGTGGCAACTCTATCTGGAGATAAAAATCAGTACAGCAGAATCAGAATCAAGGATGCACATTAGAATAAACTGGATGCCATCTGACAGTAGCCTGAAATTTTGGGCCGGGAGTCCAATCCCCAGGAAGATGACCAGTGACAAGAAATCTGGGTCCTGGGATTCTAAAAGATAATACCAAAAAAAGAATTCAGGATGACTGAAAAGGGCAAAATAGGGGCATAGAGTCAGGGCTGAACTTGTAGCAGAGTGAATGGAGAAGGAAACACTTTGTGTCTAAAACACAAGAAAACAGGCAGTTTTTCTAAAAGGATAGATGTGGAAATTGGATATTAGTCAGGTTCAATGTTAAAATGTGTAACAACTATTGCCACTGATTTTATTGTTTTAAAAGACTACAGAAGTGATACACGTATATGGTAAAAATGAAAAAGGCAGATAATCAAAGAGTAAGAAAACATCCATAATTCCACTACTGGTAATATGTAGATGTAAGGCCTGGAATGCCATAGTCATTATCACCTATTTTTATATACACATGTACAATTTTTTTAAAAAAGGATTATGCATATAGTTCTATAACCTATTTTCCCTCAATGTTATAAATATTTTCTATATTCTTTTACCTTTTTAATTTTTTGTTTTAATTAGTTATACATGATAGTAGAATGCATTTATGTACTTTGATATATCATACATATATGGGACATAATTTCTCATTTTTCTGAGTGTAAATGTTGTAGAATCATACTGGTCATGCAGTCATATATATATATACACACATACATATATACATAAAGTAATAGTATTTGTTTTTTTTTTTAAGGCTATGAAATTCTTTTTTTTATTGGTTGTTCAAAACATTACAAAGCTCTTGACATATCGTATTTCATACTTTAGATTCAAGTGGGTTATGAACTCTCATTTTTACCCCAAATACAAATATCTTTCCTATCCCCACATACCCTCCCCGCCCTCCCTTCACTTCCCTCTACCCAATCTAAGGTAACACTATTATTCTCTAGTGCCCCCTGCCTTATTGTGAATTAGCATCCACATATTAAAGAAAACATTCAGCCTTTGGGTTTGGGGGATTGGCTTATTTCGCTTCACATGATACTCTCCATTTGCCATTTACTGGCAAATGCCATAATTTCATTTCTCCCTAAAGCTGAGAAATATTCCCTTGAATATATACACCACATTTTCTTTATCCATTTATCTATTGAAGGACACCTAGGTTGGGTATAAAATTTTTATGTTGCAGAATATTCCACTTATGTATTAACAATAATTCATCTAGCCCATCTTGTTTTCCATTTCCCAGTTATAAGCAATGCTGCAGTGAACTTCCTTAGAGCTCTTTATGTACACCTTTAGTTAACTTTCTAAAACTGGACTGTCTGGTCAAATACTTTAGGCATTATGTACTTTGCATGGTGTGTGTATTGCTACTGGGGATTGAACCCAGAGCCTCACTCATGCTAGGCAAGTGCTCTACCACTGAGCTAGATCCCCAGCCCTGCTTCAGGCATTTAATATTTAAAACTTTAAAAATTCATTGTCAAGGTAGGAATTTTTCTAATTTCTTATTTATTAACACATCTAGTAGTAAGATAGGATACTTTTTTCTTTCATTAAAACAGATTATCATCATTTCATGGATAAAAAATGGCATATAATCATATGTTGCTTTAATTTAATTTGTGAACAGAAAGGTATTCAACACACTTACAAAAATAATGAGTTGAATTTGCTTTGTTATTTTTTGATCCATTTTTAATTCATTTAAATGTTTTTTAACTTGATTTAAATTTTGTGTATATAAGGATCTTTGGTTTAAGTCTAATTGTATACATTGTGTGTGTGTGTGTGTGTGTGTGGTGTATGGGAGGCAGTACTGAGGACTGAACTCAGGGCTTTGCTCATGTTAAGCACAAGTTCTACCACTGAACTACATATACCCCCAGCCCTAAGTCTAATTTTATTTTGAAAATGGTTTTGCTCAAATAATGTTAATTATTTTGACACAGAGATGCTTTTTAATTTTTGTATGCTCAAATCTACTATACTTTCTATTATGCTTAGATATTAATCCACTTCCAATTTTTTAAAAAAATTCTAGATCCATAAAATGTTATTGAATCAGTAAATAATATTGACTCTACTCTTGCCAGACCTTTATGGACCACTGTGGTAGGCAGAACAATGCCCTCCAAAAATGACCACATCCAAATCCCTGGAAACGATGGATATGTTACCTTGTATAACAAAAGGGATTTTGCAGATGTGATTAAATTAGCAATCTTTACATGGGAATACTATACAGGATTATCTGGCTGAGGTCAATATAATCACAGGATCTTTTAAGTGAGAGAGGCAACAAGCCAGAGTCAGATTTCAAGATGCTATCTGCTGGATTTGAAAATGAAGAAAGGGGCCACATGACAAGGAATGCAGTTTCATTTATTGCATTCTAGAAGCTGGACAAAGCAAATAAATGCATACTTTTTCAGAACTTCCAGAAGCAACACAGCCTGCGAGTACCTGTACGGTCACGTGACTATAGGCCAGTGAAACCCATTTTAGATTTCTGAACTTTAGAACTATGGATAATATAATTGTATTAAGCCATGAAATTTGTGGTTATTTATTATAACATCAATAATAAGGTAATACCCAATAAGTTAATGCAAAATAAATGAATACAAGTAAAGTAAAAAATACAAGTAATGTAAAAATATATACTTAACAAATTTCTTTCTACTATTGTCTTACAGGGAAAATAATTCCTAATAAAGTGTTCATATTAATTTTCCCTTAGTTTAGCAGAGTGTAGGTAGCATGGTACTTTTAGAAGGAGCTCTGTGCTTAAATATATCCCTCTCGAGTCCCTGATGTCGTAGAGAAGACAAGATAGTTGGGACTGCTCTAAGGAGAATATTGGTTACTTTAAGGTGACGATGCCAGAGGTGGTATGTTAGACAGTATGGGCTAATGTGAAAACCTGGGACACAAGCAGAGAGCTGCCAGCTCCTATTCTAACTTGAATTGTTACCTTTTGAGATTCTAATGTCTGTATGTGTAAGGAAATGACAATACAATTATAAATTTGCTAGAATATGTGATTATATGTTGATGATTTAAAATTGAGTTGAAAATTTAACTGATTACTTACAAATTAAGAAAAATTAAATTTTACCTGAGTGAGGTTATACAGGGTAATGATTTACTTTATTTATGGGAGTTTCAAGAGACTGGACTTATAAATGTGAATTTATGGTTGCTATAGCAGATCATATCTAAAATGTCTACATACAACTACAAAAGTTTTACTTGGCCTAAATTTTCCTTTATTTGTAGAAAATACATTTATGGTAAGTGATATAAATAATTCTGAGAAATAGGTTATTTACATCATACAAAGTAGATAGGAAATGGCAGATATCAACTGGACAATCACTTTAACATCCAATTACTATATACTTATTTTCATTTGTGATGCTCTTACATTTCCCTACAAACGAATTTGGAGAATTTCAAATGATAAAATTTCAAAGACGGCTTTTTAAAACATTCTGTCCTAATTTAATTTTCATACATAAAAGAGCCATGTAGCTTACTGGGCTTTGAAAATTGACAGATCTGGCTTAGGGTTCTGGTAGCTGTATGAGCTTGGGCTCTTGAGCCTCTGCTTCTTCATCCGTAAAAAAGGAATAAAGTTACCATGCAGGGCTGTTGTAAGAATGGGTTACAGAGTTGGGATTGCTCTAAGGAGAATATTGGTTACTTTAAGGTGATGATGCCAGAGGTGGTGAAATCTATGAAGTTGAAGTAGAAAATACCAGGAATCTATCTTTCCACTTAGACAACAATTGTACTGGCAGAATATGTCTGATGTAACTATTTGAGAACTCCAGAGTCTATTGAAGTCTTACAACTTTTGAGGGAGGACCTGAATAGTAAACTGTGGTTTCCATTGGTCAATTTCAGCTCTTAGTACAGTAGCATCTACCCACCCTCAAACCAAGCCCCTTGGCAGGTAGACATGCATGTATCCAGGAGCTGCATAAAGAACCCAAGGTAGGGGGAAAAGCACCCTGTCCTCCAAATAATGGGTATCTATACTCGGATTGTTGATTGCTGCTTCTGAACAGAGAGGCACAGACAGGCAGAGGGCAGGAATGGAGGGGAAGCAGAAATTATTTGTTGTGCCTCCTCCAAGTGTCCCAAACCCTTCCCCTTTGGCTGAAGTGACTTTCAATGAATTTAAGGGAACAACCTCTCCCCACTTTCATTCTTCCAACAGAAAAGGAAAAATGGAGGGGGTTGGGGGGGGGGACTGCATGCCTCTGAGTAGCACGGGAAGATGAGTTTCAGAATCCAGATGCAGTAATGGCCCCTATACTATATAAAAGCAAGGTCAGTTGATCCATTAAAAGAGTAAGGGAAAACTGGGTATAAAATTGCAGGTGCATG